ATTTTATAATTTTATATAATTTAAATTATAAAATAATTTTTTAAATAAAAATAATCAACTTCACTTCTTACAAAGTCATAATTTTAATTTCTAAACATATAAACAACCACCAAGGAGGGTTTGGATCAAATGATAAGCGGTTTGTTTCAGTTTAAGTAAGGTTTTGAGTTCGAGGCCTTGTGAATGCAGCAGTCTCCGCTGAGAGACTCACCCACCATTTCCAGGTGTGCGACACGGGTCTGGTCCGGATTAGTTGGGGCGAAGCCCCGGATACCGGGCGAGAAACCAATAAAAAAAAAAAAACATATAAACAACCTGAAAAATAGACTTAATGAGATAAATGGTTTACCAACCAAAATACTTGCCTGTTCTTTTGTTGGGGGAGGAGGGGGGGATAGTTATTTATCATGTAAGTTATAAAAATAATTTAAATTTAAGAAAATTTTTAATAGTTAGTAGTATGTATTAAATTGATAAATTTTTAATTATAAAATATATAAAGATAAATTATTTTCTCTTTTGTATTTTCTGCGAATGAATGTTTCTCCTTGGGTCTTTTATATAGCGATCTACATAAAAGCTCTATTTATTTTTATTTAAAGTTTAAGTTTTAATAATTTGCAAATAAAAAAGTATAGGGCTTAAAAATAAAATAAATAAATAAAGAGTTTATTGAACTTGTATTCTAAGGGAATAAATTAATAGTTTAATAATATATTTTTTATAATTAATTTATATAAAAAATAAAAATTTATTTTAATTTTATTAATTATAAAATTAAATTATTTAACGTAAATTTAGCGTTGAAAATATAATTTAATGTAATTTTTTCATTGGTGTATTACCCTAATGAGACTCGACGAAGCCGCATCATCTTCAGTTACAGGATCAATTAAGTATTTTGCAATTATTTGCAGATTTTGAAGGAAGAGGAAACTATAAAATCCTCAGTCACTGCTCTGAAAACCCTAAAGACTTACTTCAGACCTCGACTTCACCTCCAATGGTTTCCTTTGACGAAGAGACAGCGACAAAAATCCTACACCAGGTTTAAAAATCAGTACCCGTTTTCTTATTTTCACTCAAAAGCTCAAAATTTTTGTCTTTCAAATCAGTAATAATTTAGCCTGCTGTTTTGCCAGGTTGAATTTTACTTCAGTGACAGCAATTTGCCCAGAGATGAATTTATGCACAAAACAGTCACCGAAAGCAAAGATGGGAGTATCCTTCGCTAGACAAATTTTAATACTCTTGATTTTTGTTTTGTCTGACATCTGGGTTCTGTTTCTTGCATCTTGATCCTTGACTCTTTGGGATAGTGGTGAGTTTAGCTCTGTTATGTACATTCAGTAGAATGAGGAACTATCTTGGTTTGGGTAGAATGAAACGCGATGAAATTCCAGAGAGAATTTTAGATGGTGTGGCTGAAATTTTGAGGAAATCAAATTTTCTCAAAGTTTCTGATGATGGTAAGTATTGGGTTTGGTTCTTGTTGTTTTTTAAATTTATGGTATAATTTGGATTAATGGGTCATCTTTGTTATTGTTGTTGATGGGTTCTCTGGTTATCAAATGAACTATTATAGTGGTTTAACTGGGTTTTTTGAAATGAATGTTGAAGGTAGAAAGGTTGGAAGGATTAAAAGACTTTCTAAGCCTGAAGATGTTATAGAGCAGGTGGATGTGAGAACAATAGCAGCCTCACCTTTTGAGTATGACGTAAATATTGAAGACTTGGAGTCTTTCTTTTCTCAGTATGGCAAGGTATTGGCTCCTTATTTTTTATCAATATATAAGCAATTTTCTCAGATAATAGTTTAGGTTTAGTATTTTAATGTTAGACATGCAGAATTTGTATAATTGGAATTGCCACTGAGTTACTGAGTGGATGAATGATGCTTTTATATTTATTCTAGTACATCAATGATGTTTTTTTGGGCCATGTAACAATTTATTTGTGTGCAATAACCCTTTCTTTTGTGTTGCTTACAGCATTCTTATTGAACTGAGTGTCAATTTCATTTTTTGAGTTGTGGATGGGGTGTAACTCATTTGGTAATTGTAGTCAATTACCTTTAGGTTGATTATAGCTTAATAGCATTCATACTTGCCATTGACTATGTTATGCACCTCTTCTTTACCTCTCCATAGCTGTTGGCATGCCAATAATTGCATTCATTTCTGTTGGGATAATGTATTTGATCATAAATCTCCTTCATTGTAAATTTTTTATTTTTTTTATCATTGATGCTTCAGGTGAATAGTGTGAGGCTACCGCGACATGTTGCTGATAAACAGTTTTTCTGTGGTACTGCATTGATTGAATTTTCTACAGATAAAGATACAGGAGAAGTTTTAAAGAAAAGTTTAGTGTTTTCTGGTGCCAATCTGGA